TTGTCTGTATTGTATTCTTACATTCCAGGGAATGTCTAATTTCTCAAAGCCCGCAAGGTACCTCTTCATGGAAATTCAGAAGATCGATAGCTGTTACTATCCTGAGGTAATTTTTTAGATTATAGGTCTCACATGCTATGATTTGTTTATGCTTGTGATAAATGTGTGACACTGGAGGTCACTTCTGCTGATAAGATTTGTTTTCAAGTTGTGACAGTGATTCAACATAACAGGACATGATTATAATCTATACTTGTTGTAATTTCTGGTACATTCATGGTGCAATTTATCATTAACAAAATATAATATATATATATATATAGACACACATATACATACATACATATACATGTTTATGCTAAAAGTGACTTTGAAATTAACTTTAATTTTATAAACTAGTTAGTAAGACGAGGTTTATAATCATTTAATTACATCGAATCATATACAAGATTAAACATTAATGAGTGATCTACTCGATAGCCCGTAAAACACAACAAACATTAAAATAAACTCTCGTATGTTAAGAAGTATTTTAAATATTATTCAATCTTACGGACTCACTTGTAAAATGAGATTCCCGTCCATTTATATACTAGAAATCATCATATTTTTTAGTTGACGTCAGACTTTTAATGTATATAGAGAGAAAAAGAGAAAGGAAACAAAACAAAATAGAGTTTGTAAACCTCAGCTAGTTGCATTTTTAACCATGCGAGATGGAGAAGATATGCTTAATGTTGTGTTTATAAGATCAGTGCGTAGTTAACTAGTGTTATTAATAAGCAATTTATTCTTGCAGACCCTAAATAAGCTATTTATTATTAATGCCGGATCTGGGTTTAGGATGCTGTGGAAAGCAGTAAAGACATTTCTAGATGAACGCACAGTAGCAAAAATTCAGGTATTATCAATAATTGAAACTATATATATTAGTTCATGATCAGATGCCATGAGTTTGCACATATTATTGTTTTCTGGCCTCTATCCATATTGAACATGAAAGATTGCTGCTACAGGTGTTGGGCTCTAATTATCTCAGCGTACTGCTTGAGGCTATCGAGCCGAGGTAATGTGACTTCTGCATGATTAATACACTTGTAGATCGTTAAAATACATTTATAATTAAAGAGATTAACAAATTCGCTTATCACAAGTAAGGATGAAAGGCCTGATTAAATAAACAAGGGAAAATCGAACGACAGGCAGAAAAGTTCTTAAATTTACCTAAACTGTTATATTTTGGAGGAACAATTATTTTATTTAACTAATACCTAAGACGTACCTGATTATATTCACAGGTAGCAACTTGTACCTTGCTGATGAATTACTGCTATTAACAAGTAAATGTTTTTGTGAGATTCTGCATATAATGAAGTTCATAGATTTGATTGTCTGATTTGCAGTAATTTGCCAACTTTTCTGGGTGGTAACTGCACATGTTCCGATTATGGAGGTTGTCTGATGAGTGATCGAGGGCCCTGGAAAAATCCAGAAGTGTTGGAAATGATTCAGGTTTGACAGTATTGTGAATGAGATTACTACTCTTGTTTTTTTAGCTGTGAATTTGTGATCTAGAAATAGTTGAGAGGGGCATGTTGATCTCATTGGCTATTATACATATGCAGGCTGTTAACTTGAGAGAAGAGATCGATGGTAAATGCGAGGATGTTGAGGTGGCTACAGAAGATTCCTCGATGCCTAAAAAGGTGAGGTAGTATTAATTGTTCTACCAATGATATGAACTTTGTTGCTAAAGATAATGAGATATGCAGACCAAAGATGGCGATAACACTTTGAGTCTGCTTGAGGAGACAGCGTGCGCGGGGTCAGACTCTGCATGTACTTGTAGGTTAGCAATGCAAAAAATTGATTGTCTTGAAGCTACTCTTGGAGACATACAGAATGTGAGTTTTCATATTTTTAATGATTCCACGTTAAGGTTAAACCAAGGTAATAGGATGTTTTTTATGATACTTGTAATGTCAGCAGAAAATCAAGACGCTGGAAGATGCACTTCAAAAGACCATTGTGGTGAGATTCAAAAACTTTGATGAATTCCTCTAGCAATTTGAAACGGCCTTGTATTTTTACCTTTACTTTTCTGTTTCAGCCATCGAAAGAACAAGCACAGCATTCCGATCAACCAGCTGTATAAAAGTGGGTAGTTTCAGCACTGTTGCAGCAGTATGCTGTTGCAGTGAGTCTATTGATTTTTTCCCAATTCTCATTATTGTAATATATTGAAGTTTACAAGATCTGCTTTGCTAATATCCTAACATGCTCGTGGCAAAAAATTCTACCAATACTTGTCGTATAGAAAGGAAAAATAAAATAATCTTACACAGTAATACTATTGAGATGATATTGGTAAGTATCAGAAATTGTAGAAAAGAAAAGAATGACAGAATCGGAAGGAAAGAGGGTTTATTCGATTTACTTTGTTAGTATACAGTTACTAGTTAGGTGTATAAAATAAGTTTCATTAAGAGAAACGAAATAAACTTTATACTTTCTCGTTATTGATATAAATAATGGGAGTGGAAACAGACAATAGAAATTCAGACAAAAAGTGAAAACGTAGAAATCGTTGATGTTGATGGCAGGTAGAGAAAATAAAGATAATTGGAGAAAAACAAAATGAAAATAAAGATAAATAATATATTTTATTTTATTAAAAATAAATAAGAAATAAACAGAAAATTATTGTCATGAATGTTATTTGATTTTAAGGAAATATTTTTACTATAATTGTTATTAATATTTTATTTTAAATAATTACTATTTTTATTTATTTTAAATTCAAAGTTTTTTTTTATTCTTTTTTACTTTATCTTGATTAAGATATAATATAGTCAGGTAGTATTGGGAGAACTGGATCTCTGTAATTTTTATTTTTAAACCCTGTTTTTTTTTATTATTAATAGAATAATCAGGTAGTATTAACTATTATTAATACATCCTCATGTTTTTTTTGGTTAAAGAGTGAGACTTGTTTACCAAGTTTGATACTTTGAGACAATTTTAAGATTAATAAGTGTTGGGTATATGTATTTAAAGTTCTCGACTTCCTCAGTATATATATTTTGGGAAAATCAATTATTTCTCATAAACTATCGTCAATTTTTTTACGAATTAAATCATGTGCATAGTTGATTAAGAATATTTTATTTTTGTGTTTAAATGATGTTTAAAAAACATTAATGTTCTTGGTACAGACAAAATAAATAAAGACTTACAGTAGAGGAAAAAAAGGGTAGGAAATGAATGATTAGATGAGTTGCAAGATTAAAAAAAATAATGAAAAAGGAACTTATTTAATTATTATTAATAATTCTAAAATTAGTAATTTTGTTTAATATATTTGTTCATTAAAATTACTTTATTATTTATTATTATAATAGATAAAAAAAAAGGTTATTAAAGGCTATAGCACTGTAAACGAGATGTTTCCACAGTATAATTAATACACAACATGGTCAATCACACTTTCCAAAACTTTCAGCACATTTAAGAAGAAAATTTTGCTTTTTTCCCACATATTGTACATATTAAACCATCTTCTCCCTCAATTTTTTTTCCCATTCTTTTTACTCTTTTCAGAATGGATTGAAAATGACAAAAACAAAAAGAAAGTAAAATATTTAAATTAGAATAAAAAGTGAAAAATAATAAAAATGGGTAGAGAATTTAGATTAAAATTAGCTAACACGAAAGAAAAAAATAATTAAACAATGCAATGAATTATAAATTTACTTTTGTTTTATTTTACTAAGTATGTAAAAATCAAGATTGAAAGTTGTTTGATTACAAAATAATTAGCTTGTAAAATTAAAAATTATTAAATTTTTGAATATATTTAAAAAATCAATTACAAATCATGTCTAAATTTCTTTCACATACTAGATTAAAAAAGTTGAAGTGTAATAAAATAGTCTATTACATATTAAAGACATTCTATTGTTATACACATGGGATAATATGCATTAATAGTTTAAAAAATAATCTAATGTTTAAGTATTTAGACATGTGATCACAGTTTAAAAAATCAACTTTGATTTGAGTGGTATTATGTATTTTTTTTCAAAGAAATATATTTTAAAAGATTATAATTTGATAGCTTATACGAAGATCCACAAATGTATCGAAAATTAACAAAGGTGAAGATTTCCTCTATGGAAAATTGGACAAGTAGGTTGAGAGAGAGATGTGGTCAAACCATTATGTTAGTAGTTAATTACATCTCTCAAGGGTATTTCGAATGCAATTTCCAATGTGGTTAAAATAAATTTTACAATTAAAGCATAAAAATTACTTCAAAGTAAAATTACACGTAGAATAAATAAGAGCACTCTTGGATGCATAAGCAGACACATTTTCTTCATATTATATATTTTTCAAAGTTGTTAAAACACCAAAGTTATAGTTTTATTCAATTTATTTAAAAAAATTTCAAATAACTTGCGGCTATGTGAGTTAAAAACTGAATAAAGACAAGTATCAAAACATCAACTTCCTTCTCATTTCATCTCATCACAAACTATACAATTAAGTTAAATTAAATTAATAACCATTGGCTCAATTATTTTAAATGAAATGATTTATTAAAATAATATATATTTAGAAAAATGAAAATACTACAAAATTTAATTAATTTTTAAAATATAAAATTATAATTACATGATAAGATATTCTTTTACAAACAACATACATTTTATGATAGGAATTTTTGTAATTATATATATATATATATATATATATATATTTGTTTCAATTTATATTTAACACTTAATTTTAGCAAATATATTTTTATTCAGTTAGAAATTTATGAGCTAACAACAAAACTAGTAATTAACCCATAGGGTAATGATTTTTTTTGTGAATAAAAAAGTTAATTGAATTAATTGCTTTTGTTGAATTATGGTTTTGTCTTTTATGTTAAAATGTAGAAGGAGTAATTATTAAAGTATTAATTAGGAGGGAGGCGCATTAAAATGACCACGTTCTCGACCACAGAGAAAATAGAAAAGAAAAGGAAGTTGAATGAGAATCCCTCCTCTCTGTTGTAATTGTAATTGCAATTGAATTCCCATTTGGGTTTCAATTCTCTTTCTTTTCCTTTCCTTTTCTTCCATCTTCTCGATCTCTCCGATCCACATTCTCTACGCACCAGATCCGTTCAATCCATTCAGTCTCCTCAATCGCATTCCGAGATGAGCACCGGCGACCTTCTCAGCATCGAACCTCTTGAACTGAAGTTCATATGTGCGTTCTCTCTTTCTCTCCCTTTCTTCTATTCTTCTAGGGTTTCATTTTCATTCCCTTCTTTCAGTTGAGCTCAAGAAGCAGATCTCGTGTTCTCTTCAATTGTCAAATAAGACCGATAGCTATGTAGCATTCAAGGTAACCAACCTTTCATTTCAACTCTCTCTCTCTTCAATTTTTAGGAACAACTTTCTTATGGTCATTATGATTTTGACAAATCTTTTCTCCCCAGCCTCTTGCTCGATTTGCATGTTTAATTTTGTTATTCTGATTCCGCTCGCAGGTGAAAACAACCAATCCAAAGAAATACTGTGTTCGTCCAAACACTGGAATTGTCTTGCCACGATCTACATGCGATGTTATCGGTACCTATCGGGATACAATACTATCCATATCTAATTTCATTTTTTAATTTTTGACTGTTAATCGTGTTTTTGTCACATTTTTGTTTTATTTTAGTTACCATGCAAGCGCAAAAGGAAGCTCCGACTGACATGCAATGCAAGGATAAGTTTCTTCTTCAAAGCGTAAGAGTAGAGGATGGAATCGCCGCAAAGGATATCACTGCAGAAATGGTATAATGCGTCATGCTATTGCTACCCGTTGCAATTTTCTTTGATTCTTTTTTTTAACTGTTTATCGGGTGAAATGACTGAGACTCCTGCCATTGGGATTTTTGTAGTTCAACAAGGAAGCGGGGCATGTGGTTGAGGAGTGCAAATTGAGAGTGTTGTATGTCTCTCCGCCTCAACCTCCGTCTCCAGTCCCGGAAGGTTCCGAGGAAGGATCATCACCTAGAGGTTCTGTTTCCGACAATGGAAATATCAGTGGTGCTGACTCCGCTGCAGTGAGTTCTTAACTTGTGGTTTAGTTGAAACTTTTTTTTTCTTAACAGAAGATTTAAGATATTAACTGGAACGTTTTTCTCTTTGGGCTTGTTAGGTAACAAGAGCATTTGCTGAACGACATGATGGTCCAGAAAAGTCTGTAGAGGTAAATCTAACTGATATATTTTTGGAGTTTATACGCTGTTACTGAACCCGCGTTTTGGTCTGAGGACAGTGGCCGTGTTAATTAACTGACGCTAATAGTCGTGATTCAGTATTGATACTTACCAGGAAAAAATACAAATGAGAACTGATCTTTCTTGCTTGAACATGCGTCACTTTTTCAATTTACATTTTTTTTGCAGTCAGTATGCTGCAAATGAAAACTGAACTTCTGAACATGTCACTTGCTTAGTTTGCATCATTTAGCAACTTTGGATATTTGAACGATGTCATTCACTGTGTGCCAAACTGGTGTGCAAATTTACAATTCAATACTTAAGATAGAGTCTTACTCGCATTCTTGGGTCTAATATTGATTGGAAGGAAATTTCCTAACTTGGTGCTTATTAGAAAGTGGATTTTAAGTCTCACTTAACCTCATAAAACTTGTATGTAAGATGTGGACTCTTGGATTTAGGAGGGACTCAATAGTAGGTGACATGAGATCCAACACCTTGCTAGGATAGATTCTAAATGACTTTTATACCATCTTAAAGTAGTGTCTTTAAGTTTAACTCAACTTCACAAATTGACTTTTAAATTGAGATTTACACTCATATATATATATATATATATATATATATATATATATATATATATATATATATATATTAATTTGACTTTGTTTTTAGTTGATGTAGGCTCTTTGGCATACCCTCTTATGCTGAGGACTATACATCTTAGGCAAGGGACTAGAGGGGAACTCGACAGTGGGTAATACAAGGTCCAATGCCTTGTTAAGATGGATTTTGAGTGACTTTGATATCATCTTAAGAAAGTGAAATTTAATTTTAATTCGACCTTATAAAGCTAGCTTATAAGGTGATGTTTGTATCCACTAATATATTATAATTTGATATTATTTTTAATTGATGTGGGCTCTTCAACTATGTCCAAGTAAAATTAGTAGTTTAAGCAAGAGTAATCATTAAAGATAATGGTTTTAAAGGTGGGGCTTCTTGCTCTATCATTTTTAATCCCTTGTTTGGCTGCTAACAGACAGAAGGGAGAGGATGGAAATAGTGTGTTGTTTTGTGGGGGTAGAAATAGAGTGGAGATACTTGAAATAAAGGTGGGATCCAATATTCACTTTCACTGTATTTCCTACGTATTTTCTACTTCTCTTAGAAAAGTACTTCTAATTTCCTGTTTATTTCTCACTTATTTTCATTCACCTTTTCTATGTCCATTTATCATGTTTCTTTCACACTACTTTGGAAGGCATTCACCAGTTTTGTTGTAGAATTCTCTAAATTGGTCATATATTTGCAAAACATGGCATCTAATTAAATACATATGATCATATAAGTATTAGAGCATATCATTTGTATAAAACGGTGGCTTGAGGAAGTATCTTTGTTGCGTAGTGAGGTCCTTGGTGTGATTTTAGAGTCATTTCAAATAACTTTTGTAGGTTGTTTCTGCTTCAAACTCTAAGGGGGCGTTTGTTTTACAGAACCTTTTATTGTGAAAATAAGTTGGTAGAGTAGGAATAAAGAAGAAACAAGTAGTAATTAAAGGTCTTTGTCTAAAGAGAAATAAAGGAAAAAAACAGGAGAGGGTTCAGGAAATAAGTGGAAATAGATGAAAAGAAGTACGACAGATCTACCAACTTTTAAAATTATTTCTTCACAAATCTTCACCCAACCAAACACGCCTTTTATTATTTCCATTCCTCCCCCTTCTCTCAACCAAACAGGCTAAGTTCACATTTTCAGGATCAGCATCTCTTGTATGACCTATCAATCATGAATTAACAGGACGAAAAACAATTTCTTTTTTAATTCCAGGTTGTAATGGTTTTAAAAGCTTGTAACTACTGTTTTGCTTTTTTATTTTTTATTTTTTATGTTTGGGAACTTTATTTTGATTGTAGTCAGCTTATTTTGCAGGCAAAAGCTCTTATCTCAAGGCTGACTGAAGAAAAGAATAATGCTATCCAACAAAATAACAAGCTTCGTCAGGAACTGGTGAGGATTTACAAAATATGTTCTGATAGATAACTTGTGTCTCTCCATCTGACTGACCTGTATTTCTCCTTTTCTCCTGATTGGAGAGGGGAATACCAAAGAGTATTGTTACCCCTCTTTAAGTTGGTAGTACGGTTCTAAAACCGAAAGGAAAGCACCATAAATTAGAAAGAGAATTGTGAAAAGTTTGTTGAAGGTTTGATCACTGGTTCACAACCGAGTCTGGTGGATGTGCTGATTTTCTTTGGAAGGAATTGCTTCTTTCCGTTTCTTGACATGATAAAATGAACTCTTGTATAATCTAATTGGATAAGGTGGTTCTGTTTTTGGCTTATTTTCGCCCCCTGTCCTTGGGCTTTTGCTTAGTAAAATGAAGTTTGCATTATGTTAATTTGCCTTAAATATTATGGTGGAATAATTTGCCTTAAATATTATATTAATTTATCGTTATCTGACTTATCATCACATAACCAAGCTGTCTTTTTATTTGAAAACCTGATTTGAACTGAAAAGTAGAAAAGATGTGTCATGAAAAATGGCTTGATGCCTTTCACTATTGTATTCCCACTATAAATAATGCTAGAAATATTTACAATAATTATTACTCAATTACAAAATATCCTATAATGTGAAATTAGGGACAAGAGATCAATCTATGAATACCTAGTGTATTCTTAGGAAATCATATCAAAATATTTTAGAAGACAAATTAATTCCTGATTGACAAGATGGTATGGGATTAGATGGGGAACATGGAAGTGTCTAATGTTTATGTCTACTAAATTTAGGAGGGTCTTCACTTGAATATAGGGGCCCATGATCTTTTATTTTCTTCCTAAAAATGCATATTATGTTGAATCAATATTTTCCTGTTCTTAATTTTCTGTATTGTTCGTGACTGTTAATTGCGTGGAATTGGGAGACTGAGGAACAGAGATTTCGAGCATTAGCATTTTGAGCTTTTGTTTTACGGAAAATATTGTTCAATTTGTGCACTTGTGCTTTGGTTAGATCTGTTAGGAACACATTTTTCGTGTAAAATGCTTTCTCACCTATTTATGTCGAGTTTCAAAGTTGACACAAGTCAAATATGTTTAGTCATGCATACGATGATAATTTTTTTATGATATAGACAAGTATATGATGACAGACAAATTGGTATGATCTATTTGTATTAAAGCAAATAAGCAAGTGTCTTTTAACCAACCAAACTTAGTATATATCACGTTTGAACTGTGGGGGAACACTTAATTGATGATCTTATTACCTGCAGGACATGCTGAGACGGGAAAGCAACAAAAGTCGTGGCGGTGTCTCGATGGTCATTGTCATATTAATTGGCTTACTTGGCATAATTATGGGGTATCTCATGAAGAAGACCTAAGTCTTTCTGAGATTCAATCCTTCACCATATGTTTGATCTTAGTTTTCCTGTTGTTCCTGGCTATTCAAGAAATGAAGACGAAGGGCAAAACAGATTAAATCCAGTAGGTGTTGGTGTTTTTTTGGGGGTCGACAACAATATGGACATAGAAACATTAGTTGAAAGCGTGGGTCTATGATTTCTTTTAAGAGCAGATTACTGTGAACTGACTCATGCTTTTGGTAACATGCATTCTTTTTAAGTCAAGGGAAAAATTTGTTGTTTTATGTGGTTCATTCAGTGACGGTCTGGAAATGTCAAACAATGGCCACTAGTAGCATGCATATTATGATTATCGGATATTTTGTTTATTTTTCATGAGAATAATATCACTTTGTAGTTGTTAGATTTCTGAAAGCTGGATAAAAGGCTCATTGTTTGGCCAGGGTCATCAGTTTTGTAGTTTTTTCTTTCAAATGGTTTTTAAGAATATGTTTTGAAAGTATTTTTTGCATCTTGATACACAATAAAGAATTTCAATACTGTCAAACCTTTAATCCAATCATGTAATTGAAAGTTGACAAATACTAGCTACTGTTTATCTAAATGGGTTAAATTATTGGCCTAAAATAAGATAAATTTTGGAATTTAACCGTACTCATATTTTATTTGAAAATGTACTTAAAAGAAGTTAAATGTGTTTAGTTTATAAACTTTGAATTCAAATTGAAATTGGATTTTATTGAAAACGTTAATATATTTTTATCTTTTGAAAATGAATATATATATATATATTTTTTTTAATTTAAATATATTAAATTTTTGACTTATCAAACGTGTTTCATGTTACTATTTATCTTGTTTATATCGTTAAATGTTTGACACGTAAAGATTTGGCTTTAAGACTAAAAAGCATATTTAATTTTAATTTAATAAAAATGTTTGATTATTATACTTCACTAAAGGATCTATTTTATCTACATTCGACTGAATCTGAAAAACAATTCAAAATAAAGTTAGGTATACAGTAGGTCGGATCCAGGTAATATTAATTGGATCGAGTAAACGGATAATATTAAATAAATAATTAAATAAAATGAATAATTATAATTGGATATAGATGTGAATTAAATTTTTAATAATTTAATTCAATTCAAATGTAATTATATATTTGTAATTATATTTTAAATTTTATATTTGATATCATATAATTTTATAAAAAATTTATTGTATATTTCTTTAAAGAATAACTTAATATAAATTCATAATGTGAATAATTCATTCAAATTAATCCGTTACCAAAACAATCACCGATAAATTAAATGACGATACATGAATTTTAAAATATTAAATTTAAATTATACTGAATTAATCACGATCTAACAAATATCATACTGAGGCCTAAGGAGGATTACTAGAAGTTTTTAAAATAATACCATAAAAATTAGGAAGAGGCAGAATGATCCAAGAAGCAAGCGCATAAGAGAAGAAAAGATGATAAAAAGGGAAAGTGTAGAGAGAGAATGAATAATCAATCTTCATCTTTTTTGTTTGAATTCTTCCTGAAAGTGTGTTCAATCTGGGTGGCCATGAAGAAAGCGGTGGAGGCAAGTCCCTTAATGTCTGGGACTTTGTAGTTCTGGGCAACGTACACCCCCAAAGCTGCGGCCATGACGTGCGAAAAACTGCTTCTGATTATCCCCATCGTCAAAACCACATCGAAAAACAGCTGCTACCGTATGAATGGGGTCACTTCTGTATTTATTCCCTTCTTAGCTCATAACATTACCCCTTCCCCAAGCAATTTTTCTTTCCATACAAACAAATTAACCCTAAACCCTTCTTCAAGTAATACCTTCTTCCTCTACTGGTGGGACCCATATATTCTCTATGCCCCCTTATCATTAGCTTTATCATTACTATAAATTAATAACCATCATTAAAGTTAAATCATAAATGGTTTTTATTCTTTTAATTAAAAATACATTCAATATAATATATTGTTATAATTAATTACATAATATCACTCTGTGGACTGTCTGAGTAACTGTCAAGGTGGTTTTTATTTCACACATTTTTAAATAATAAAAACAGTTATTACTTTATGTTTGATAATACCATTTTATATTAATTATAAAATCTCATAATTTTTAATTTATACAAACAAATAAACAAAATTAAGTTAAAATAATAGTTTTATAATCCGGTTAACATAAAAGTTAAATAACAAAAATTCAATTAAGAATATAAATTTTTTAAATGCTCAACAAATTGAAAAAACTTAGTAAAAACTCAATTTAAGATACAAATTTATAAAAACTTAAAAAAATTATGTAAGATATATTTCCTTTTGTTTTATTGAATATTATATATTCTTATCAAATCGTCTATTTTTAGATTATAAATGTAATGTGTAAAATTTGTTCCATCCGTAACTAATATATTTAACAAAATTATAGTTGAATATTTAAATATGGTTTTAGTTAGTAGGATACCGAAAACATAATCTGAAAACGGTACCAAAACAAAAAGGTTTATTTTATTTGATTACATGATCATATGCGTAAAATAAAACTAAAAATTTTACAGAATAAAATAAGTATGATACAATTTAAAGTCATAAACCGAACACTGATACAACACTATGTATAAACCGATCGGTTTACAAAAGATAGGTTAAGACTATTAAACGAACAATCCATTCTAAAACTATACACAACTAATGACCGAGCGGTCTTAACCTAAGCAACATGATCCTCGCCTACCAGTGCTTGCTCCACTGAACACTCATCACCTTCTGTTCACATTCACAGGATGATCATTGCAAAAACGGACAAAACAAGAAAGTAGGGTAAGCTAATGTAATTTAATTATAAACACATAAATACAATTCATGCAAGTTCAATACGTATGAAACCGAACGGTACATCATACAAACACTTAATACAATTAATCACCACCATTCATATATGTATATAAACCGAACACTATAACTTGACCATCCGAATTGTATGAATATGTAGCTACAGTCGTCCTTGCACTTGTGGTAGTGTAACAGCTGACGCCAATCAAGCTACTACCCAGGTTAATCCCATAATACCTACCTCGGCACCTTGAGGTGGTAGGACCTCCTGCTATTCTCACAAATGATATACCTCTCTATGTGAGAATGATACTCATAGAATTTCAGGATGAACGCTAGCTTAACATATCCATATTCATACTTTACCATTCAATAACCACACACGAAACATTCCGCCTTGGAATTCTCTTCCACAATATTCAAAAGTCCAACATTCTCATATTTAACATAATCTATCATTCATCAATTATACCTTGATTCACAGAATAAAGAGAACATGTGAATGTTGGAAACCGAACACCTTCACACTACTCAACCGAGAGAACCGAACGGTTCATAAGAGACAAAACAAAAGAAACTGACCGAAAGCTATTATAGGCTGACCACCATAGAAACCAACTACTAGGAACTTAGCCCAACCCAAAGAGTTTAAACCACTCACTCATAACTCAAACTGAAACTCTTAAAAAAAACTTATACAAAATACTATATTAGCCCGAGTACTTAGAGATTATTGGATACTCTATCTAAACCGAACACCAGTTTAATATTAGAACACTACGATTAGACCGAACGGTCATAAATAGATAATACCTCTAATAAACCGAACCCAGTTAATGACTGAGTACATAACATAGAAGAACGGTCAACAAAACAAATCTCAGAATAACCCTTCTTAAACCAAAACAAGATATTTTTCTTAATTTCTAAACCTCCAAACGTGATTTCTAAGTTATTTTAAACCTATTCCATTGAACCTATTACACACTGCTTACCACTCCCATTTTCACACACCCTCTTCTCCAAACAAGAACTGACCGAACGTTCTACAACAAGAAACTCCAATCCAGTTCACATGTCTCGGTCAACCACAAAATTTGAATACAATTCAATCAAACATACTGTCATTCATAAATGCAAGCATTCACACATCAATTTCAAACACAGAAAAAATATAATTAAATCACTAGCTTCCCTTACCTTGAATAAACTAGGCACTTCCTAAGCTTTCACCACTTTGACTAACCAGCAACCACTTCTAAAGCAACTTACTACAACTCCGATCGGTAAAATGGACCAACCAGAGGATCAAACAGAAAAAGGTTCAGAGAGATAGATGAAAAACACATGCAAGCGGAACAGTGCTTGCATGTTCCAGAAAATACCGAAACTTAAAAAGGAAGAATGATTTTACTTACCCACTTCATACAACAACTAGATTGATGAAAAAGAACTTATTGTCACCAAAGAAGAATTCAAACACGACCTAGATGATGATTAGAAGAAGAAGAAAGTAAAGATTTTTAGAGAGAAGGAGGAGAATTATAGAGAGAAGGAGGAGAAACTCAAAAATCTGGAGAGAAGAAGTGCATACAAAAGTGGCTCAACGTTTGAAAATTTTACTTATATACTATCGTCAAAAATCGATCGACCAACCAGCTGCACACACCTGTTGAATTTAATGATTCTGACACTTGATAAGATATTTCCTAAACTATTTTTAAAATACTCAATATTAATGGTTAATTTTATATTTTTACAATCAATACTTGTTTTGAAAAATAATCTATTTCTAAGAAAAACTTAATATGTATAATATGATCTGGTTTCTAATAATATAAAGAAAGCATCTAGATTTACAACTTCACAAATTAAAAACACTGTAGTTATTTATTTATTTATTTTAGGAATCGAAATATGCTAATAGCATTTTCTGAAAGAAAAAAAGATACCTTAATAGTCTCTCAATATTATATTGAATTCAATTGGCATATCCCAAGTGGCGATAATTAGGTATTGGCGTAGGTGAAAAATATTTATGCATTATTATTTAAAGAATTTAATTAGAGTACATAAAATAAAATTCACATTATTTAAAAGTACGTTATTCTTAATGCAATTTTAAGATAATTATTATAACATTATTAAACTTATTATTTATTATAATTATAGTTGAATAATGAAAATACATTTTTTTCCTTTATCAAATTATGTTATCACGTTATTAGAATAGGGTCCCGTATTTTACTTCTTCTCTCTTTAAAGATTAAGTGTGTTTTATTTATTTTATTTCTTCTAAAATAATTGTTTATTATATTAATTTCTTCAAAAATTTTACAAAAAAAGGATTATAAGCTTATTAATTACAAAATATAAACGGAAAGGATTTGACATTAACAGGAATTCAATTATTATATATATTGTTATCTTATATTAGCAATCAATGTTGACTATTTTTCAGTTTAATTTAAAATATTAATTTTAAAATCAAAAAGTGGCTTTTCAATACAACGATTTGGGTGATTAGAGAAAAATACGTCATT